GAGAGTCTGCAGAACGCTGGGAGAGGTCGGCGGATGTTGCAGGCGATCACGCGCTCATCGACATCAACAAGCTTCTGGGGCTGAACCCGCGCCAGGTGACGGTGCGCACCAAGTCACGTGACAGCCAGAGCTCCGACAGCCTGCCCACTAGCATCCCGGGCAGCATCCTGCGCAAGGGGGCGAAGGTGAGGCAGACGCCATCGTGCCCTCGTGCGCTCCTCCCACGATTGTCATCGACGCCCTCCGCCGCCCTCCGCGTCGTCCTCCGTTGCCCTCCGCAATCGCGTCTTCGTCCGGACCTCTGCGAACGATTGCATTCGTGCTCTTTGCCTTTCTAGGCTTTCCCCGGCCTGCAGAGCCGCCTTAATCCTTCATGCCGTCTGGAGGCGACGTGTTTAGTATCCATTCGCGGGCCTCTGTACCTACCATCATGGAATTTCCCCTTCTGCGGCGGCTGGCCGTTTTCAACCGCAGTGACTCATGCAGCCCCTTCCCTTCATCCACGTCTGTAGTGTTGCCGCTTCCAATCTTGGCTCCGCGGTGAATAGTACGTCTTCGTCCTCGCCAGACATCTTAGCTCTCCTCTTTCAGTGTTGCGTGTTGGGGAATGTAATGGTCTGCAGAGTCGTCTAGAATAGATTCACGTCATTCCTAACTTTTCAGTGTTGCGTTTCAGGATTTGAAATTGGATGCCCTGCGAATAATTAGTATAACCCAAAGACTTGTTAGGTCTTCATCTGACATTCAATTGCGTCCTTTTAGTGCTGAGTTTCAGAATGATTGAATATTTTACTTGAAGTACGAAGAGTTTTCAGGAACAGTGCAGTGGAGTACAACAATATTTTCTTTAGAAAGCGAGTTTACATTATAAAGTAAAAAACACAGGGCCGTTCAATTGGTAATCGTGAGTATAAAATGTATTTATAAAATATCACTTACAAAATTTTATTTTCTTCAAGTTTATTTTCTGTAAATTATTTTTTGGTAATAGTTGTTTGTTTGTGATCAATTTAAAAAAGATATCAATGCATGGATATGTATTATCTTAATTTTAGCGTAAGTGCTAATTTCTTTAATGATCGTGTTTTTATATTTGCGTTACAATCCCTTAACGGATGTTTAAAAAAGATTTTCATTGATTAAAAATAGAAATTGAAAATTAAAATTAAATTTCATGCACTTTTCTTACAAGTAGTAGCAAATTTTATTTCTGTGAAGCTGGTCATGAAATATGTTTGATAAAAATCAAAAGCTTTTCACCCCCTGAGATCCCATGACCTTTAAGATGGCTCTGCTGGTCGGTGAAACGCCTAAGACACCCGTAAGGGTCATTTGTCCTTGTAGATTCAATACTATTTCTAAAGTTTTTACTTTTAATTTGGAATGCACCAGTTCCATTAGAGAAATCCTTATTGCTACAGGTAACAGCTGAAAACAGGGAGGGGAAGCAGGTAAGGCACCCCTTCCCCGTCTTCGTCTGGGACGCTGAAGATGTCTGCAGGAATTAGCCAAGAAAATATTAAATATTAGTTTGGTGTATATGCTCTTATTTACAAGATACTGGAAGAATCATTAATGCGCAGGTTACTTTTTAGGTGATTCCAGGCCTATTGAGATCATGCAGTACTTTGAACTACGTATTAATAAACGGAATTTCCAGGAATGAAGCTTAGCAGATATAGAATCATCTGAAAATGTGGAAATTATGAACGTCTGTGTAATGCAAGGGACTTGACAGACTTGTGCAATTTTTTTGCATAGTTATTTACTAATATTAATATTACTTCGGTGATTTAAAAAAATGGGATTATGCAACTTTTTGTCTTATACTAATTGGTTACTACCACTTAAGCCTTCGTAGGACAATAATATTGGCTTACTCATACGTGAATGTTCTGGAATAAAACTAGAAAGTACAGAAAACTTCACAACAAAGAATACTGTGGTGAAGAAGAATAATTGCTATGTATTGTGGAATGTGAATATCAATGTCAACGTGTATTCCAAACTTTTCCTAACAAAATATGGCTGGAACCGATTTCGCTGAAGTCCTGGCGAAGACGTGAAGGAGGGCACAAAGTTTGAGACGTAATTATTGTCACCTACATGCAACCTCACACCTGACTTCCTATTACCCATTATAGGCAGAACGTGTTAGTATCGACCTGCATTTTCTCTTGAAAGCAACGAAGAGGTGATATTATTTAGCTGGATTGATCAACAGGTGTCTTCTGTTACTGCTGGAAACTATAAGAATTAGCACATTCTTATGCAAATTATTAGTTACTTTCGGCCATTAAGAGATTGTAAAACATCGTGGAAAGATAGAACACTTTTTTACATTGTGCTTATTGCGAAAATATCCGAAGCAGGAAAATATGTTTCATTCAGTATATTCTGACAATGTACTTTACCTCAGTTTGATTTTTTTTAGAATAACATAATAATAAAAATCAAATATCCCCGTCGTAAGTGCAATTTATACTTACAAGAACCCGTGTTCTTTTGAGGCACCTTTCAAGTCAAATAATAATTGGAAATGAGATTGCATTTGTTGTGTTATGCTAAAGAATTGAATTCATCCTTCAACCTGTCCAATCCTCTCATTCGACGACGATTTCATCGTCTCATTGGTGTCAAATGCCCAATACATCATGGCGAGGAAAAGGTCAACAAGAAAAGTTCATGTGCTCGATCGTGTGCCCCTCCATGCCCACCTCGAGCGGATCCGTGCCGAGCTGAGCCAGGCAACGTCGAATTTCACCGACCCGTTCCGAACCGAACCGCACCGAATCGACCTGAGCCGCTTCGAACTGCGTCAAGCCCAAATCAAAATGTCGAGCCAGTCCTGGACGATCGCAATCGCAACAGACTCCTTATCGATTCTCAATTGGACGCTTTAGTGAATAAAAAGCTAAATCGAATTGAGCCGAGCTGTGTCGAGTCGAATCGAGCAGAGTCGAGTCGAATCGAGCCGGGCCGAGTCGAATCGAGCCGGGCCGAGTCGAATCGAGCCGGGCCGAGTCG